CCCGTCTTACGGCTTCTGCACTTGCTGCTCTAGCTTGTAATGCCTTCCTCAAACATCACACAGCTAACTATCTCAGCTCTTTCAGATTTTTGCTTACCTTCCTAGTGAAGGAGTCCTCAACCCCTATTTTAAGTTGTTTCCTTCATCCTCTTCCTTTGTTTTATATTTTTATAGTACTTACAGCCATTATACATATTACATATTTTAGTTATTTATTTAAGGACTATATTTCCCAGACCTGCCACTTTGATACCAAAAACGGTGCCTGGGATTCAACAAATACTTGTTGATTTGACAAATGAGTGGAGGGAACAGTAGACTACAATGGACCAGGAGAGAATGAGAGGAAGCACAATCAGCATGGGTGGAAAGGTTGCTGTACCAGAAAAATGGTACAGTAACTAGAAGAGATATGGGATAAAAGAAGGGAAGTTTAAAAAAAAAATTTTTTTAAAAGGATACATGATTCTGTGACCTAATGAGAATTTATACTGATACTATATACTATACTAAAAGTCTAGCTTATAATCTTATATTTGACAGAAAAATGGTACAGTAACTAGAAGAGATATGGGATAAAAGAAGGGAAGTTTAAAAAAAAATTTTTTTTAAAAGGATACATGATTCTGTGACCTAATGAGAATTTATACTGATACTATATACTATACTAAAAGTCTAGCTTATAATCTTATATTTGAGGGTTCATACACCTTCAATGATAAGATTAGTAAATCCAAGGATCATATAATTAATTAATCAGATTAGACAAAATAAGATAGGTATTTGTCATCTATGTGTCATGTGTCGGGCAATGAACAGTCTGCCTACAAGGAACTTAGCATCCAGTAGTTATCTAAAGTGGTGATGATGATGATTCATTTAGAAATGATTTCATGGTAGTGCAGTCATGCTTGCTAAAACTATTTTTGCTTCTCTGGATTAGAATAATACCTGCTTGCAGGAAAGTACACTTAAATCCTACCCCTAAGCTAAACAAGCTTAGAGAAGTTAAGTAATTTTCTTGCGGTCACACTACAAATAAATGATGAAGCTGGCATTTGAATACAGGTATCTTTGGGAATAGTTCATGCTCATAAATACCATGTTAAATATGTGTTAAAGTTCACACTGGAATATATGTATTATGTATATTCTTTATACAAAAATTAGAAAAAAACTTTATAAAAAACTTTTCCAACTTGGTCCTTTGTAATAAAATCCTAAAATAAATGTTGGAAGGGGTATGGAAGCTACTTCATATATCTGTCACAGGGAATTAGTGTGAGTGGCTAAGCACAGAAAATGCAAATAAATGGATGAGCTGAAACAATACTACATTCACATGAATAAGTATCAGCCCACCCAGCAAATTAAATGCCAAGGTCCAGGACTGAGAAAAATCTAGGCTTCTTGTTTTGTTTCTTTCCTTGCCAATCTCTTTGGACTATTTTCTCTGTTAGTTTTTATCCAAGCTGTAAAAGACAGAATTCTAAGATGATCCCCCAAGATTTGCACCTGCTCTGAGCCCTGCATAACTGCCTTTGAGTTGGGGGGACCTGTAAATATAATGGGATATCATATCACTCCCTTGTTATATGAGAAAGGTCATGGGATAGTTGTTCCCATAATCATATTACTTTATAATTAGACGGCTAAAGGAATATTTCCCTCTGGCTTTGAAGAGGTAAGCTGCCATGTTGTGAGAGGGCATGTAGTTTAAAATATCACTGTGGCCTCTAAGAGCTGACAGGGGTCCCAGCCTACCAAGAGCCAGCAAGAAAAAGGGGACCTCAGTCCCATAACTGCAAAAAACTGAATTTTGCCAACAACCTTAATGAGGTTGGAAGAGGAGCCGAAACTCCAACCAGAGACTGTATCTCTGGTCAATACCTGATTTCAACCTGGCAAGACTGTGAGCAGAGGGAGTGGTTAACCCATGCTGAACTCTGGGCCAGTGGAAGCTGAGATAATAAATGGGTGTTATGTTAAGCTGTTAAATTTGTACAAGTCTCTACTCATCCTTTACACAGACCCTGATAGGGGAGACTTAAGATTGCTATGATAGCACATTACCCCAAGGATAACAATGGAAATAGAGTTTTCAGTTCAAGATTGTCCTAATCCATGCTCTTCCATGCCTTTTTACTTGTGGTTTCCTGATGAATTCCTATTCAAATTTCAAAACCCAGGTCAAATGTTGCTTCTTCAAAGAAGCATTTCCTTATAGCCTTCCCCATCCTCTCTTGAGCAGAATAAATGACTCCTACTCTTTGCTTCCATGGCAGCAGCTTGATTGTACATCTACTAAAACACTTTCCAGTATGCACCATAATGACTTTTTATATGTCTATCTTCCCCCACACCAAGACTGTGAATCTTCTAGGATAGAGCTGCTCTGGTCTCCTGCATGGTGCCTGGTATATAGTGAGTGATAAATAGCTGGATGCTGAATGAATAAAATGAGGCTCTGGATAAATACAGGCTTTTGATGCCCAGGGAGTAGCTGTTTCTTTCCCTGCACAGCTGATCAGGCCTCAGGTATTAATAGAAACTCGGAGAGCCTTCTCCATGACAACTGCTGGGTAAACTAACCAAGCACTTTCTGTGTTAAAGGGCAGATAGATACTGATTGTCTCAAAAGCACTGGTCTGAAATGGATAGGTGTGCCTGAAGCAAAAGGCGGCCCAAGAAGGATTTAGATTCTCCTCAGAAGGGAGGGCGGGCCGGCCCGGTGGCGCACTGCTACAGTGCGCCGCTTGGGAGCGCGGTGGCGCTCCCGCCGAGGGTTCGGATCCCACATACAGACCGGTA